GGAATACACAGAGTCAGTGTACCAAAAGGAAATGGTTGATGTTCAACCATTTCAAGAGGTACCATATGAACAAGAGCCAATGATACTCAGGGAAGAAGTCTAAAGTGTATTGAAGGAATTGGCAAAGAACAAGGCACCAGCAATTGATGGAATAAAAATTGAAATCTTTCAAGAAAGTGAGGCGGCACAGGAGGCACTCACTCATCTCTGACAAGAAATTTGGAAGATAACTGTCTGGCCGACTGATTGGAAGAGATCCATATTTGTGTCCATTCCAAAGAGAGGTTACCCAACGGAATGCGGAAATCATCGGACAGTCTCTTTGATATCTCAAGCTAGTAAAGTTTTGCTAAAGGTAATACAGAAAAGGCTATAAGCATACATTGACAGAGAACTTCCAGAGGTTCAAGCTGGATTCAGAAGAGGCCATGGAATGAGAGATATCATTGCTGATGTCCGATGGATCTTGACTGAAAGCAGAGACTATCAGAAGGATGTTTACCTACGCTTTATTGACTATGCGAAGGCTTTCGATTGTGTGGATCATGACAAGCTATGGACAACATTGCAAAGTATGAGTATCCCAGAACACTTAATTGTACTTTTGAGATATCTATACCTGGACCAAGAAGCAGTTGTTCAAACAGAGCATGGGAACACTGAATATTTTTAAATTGGGAAAGGTGTGCAACAAGGTTGTGTTCTTTCACCATACTTATTCAACCTGTATGCTGAGCATATAATACGAGAAGCTTGGTTCTATGAAGAAAAACATGGCGTCAGGATTGGAGGAAGACTCATTAACAATCTGCGATATGCAGATGATACAACCTTGCTTGCTGAAAGTGAAGAGGGCTTGAAACATTTACTGATGAAGATCAAAGAGCACAGCCTTCGGTATGGATTGCATCTCAATGTCAAGAAAACAAAAATCCTCACCACTGGACCAATAAACAACATTCTTATCAATGGAGAAAAGATTGAAGCTGTCAAGGACTTCATTCTTCTTGGATCAACTATCAACACTCACAGAAGCAGCAGTCAAGAGATCAGATGATGTATTGCATTAGGCAAATCTGCTGCACAGGAACTTTTTAAAGTGTTGAAGTGCAAGGATGTCAGCTTGAGGACTAAGGTGCACCTGACCCAAGCCATGGTATTTTCAATAACCTCATATGGATGCGAAAGCTGGACAGTGAATAAGGAAGATCGTAGAAGAATTGATGCCTTTGAGTTGTGGTGTTGGAGGAGAATACTGAAAGTGCCATGGACTGCCAAAAGAACAAATAGATCTGTTTTGGAAGAAGTGCAGCCAGAGTGCTCTTTGGAGGCCAAGATGGCTAAACTTCGTCTTTCATACTTTGGATATATTGTCAGGAGGGAACAGTCGCTAGAGAAGGATGTCATGCTGGGTAAGATGAAGGGTTAGAGAAAAAGAGGAAGACCCCCAATGAGATGGACTGGTCAGGTGGCATCATTGATGTCATCAAGTGTGGCAGCAGTAGTGAGGTTGGCCCAGGATCGGACATTGTTTCGTTCTGCTGTGCATGGGGTTGCTATAAGTCGGTTCCAACTTGATGGCACCTGACAACAACAACAACAACAGCTGCCTAAAGGATACAACCCTGGCGTGCACCTTTCCTGATTTTAAACCATTCAGTGACTCCTTGCTCTGTTCAAACCATTGCCTCTTGGACTATGTACATGTTCCTCATGAGAACAATGAAGTCTAGAATACCCATTCTTCACACTTTTGTCCATAGCTTGTCATTATCCACACATTTGGATGCTTTTACATAGTCAATAAAGCACAAGTAAACATCTTTCTTGCCTTCTCTTCTTTCAGCCAAGATCTATCTGATGTCAGCAATGATATCCTTAGTTCCCCATCTTCTTCTGAATCCAGCTTGAATTTCTGGCAGTTCTCTGTGGATATACTGCTGAAAGTGTTTTTAAATTATCTTTAGCAAAATTTTACTTGCTTGTAATATTGATGGTTTAGGTATTCTGTTGGGTCACTTTTCTTTGGAATGAGCACAAATAAAGTTCTCTTTAAAGTGTTAATGAGCAAAGATGTCAGTTTGAAGAAAGCTATGTTATTTTCAGTTGCCTCATGTGCATGTGAAAATTGGTCAATGGACAAGGAAGAACTGATGTATTTTAATTATGGTGTTGGAGAAGAATATTGAAAGTGTCATGGACTGCCAGAGAACAAATAAATCAGTCTTGGAAGAAGTAAAGCCAGAATGTTCCTTAGGCGTGAGTATGGCAAGACTTCAACTCTGGTTCATGTTGTCAGGAGGGACCAGTTGCTGGAGAACATCATGCTTGGTAAAGTGATGGTTCCGCAAAAAAGAGGAAGACCCCAATGAGATGGACTGACAAAGTGGCATCAAAAATGGGCTCAAACCTAACAACATTTGTGAGGATGGTTCAGGACTGGGCAATGTTTCATTTTGTTTTGCATAGGGTCACTATGAGTTTAAACTGACTTGTTGACACCTAACAACAACAACTACATTAAAAAAAGAAAAGAATGACTCTTAACAAAAATGTTGAATAAAAAAAGAGAGGTGAAGATGACTACAAATAGTATAATACCCTTTTATAGAATGCCCAAGTATAAGCAAAATTAAATAATACTTAGTTATATTTATAAAACACAAAAACAAAAATATAAAATGGAGGATAGTGTTTACCTCTGGAGGAAGACAAAACAGAAAAAGAGCACCACATCTAAGTCATTTGTAATCTTCTAGTTCAGTAGTTCCCAAACTTTTAGTATGCATTAGAATCAGCTGGAGAGCTGGCTAAAACCTAATTGTTAGCTTTTCCCCCCAGATTTCTCATTCAGTACGCAGTGCTGGTGTAGCATTGTAGAACGTTGTTGTTAAGTATTGTGGAATCGGTTCTGATGCATAGTGACCCTGCACTGGAGCAGAAAGCCTCATCTTTCTCCTGCAGAACAGCTGGTAGTTTCGAACTACTACCGTGAGATTAGCAGCCCGATTTGTAACCACTAATCCAAGAGGCTGGGTTATATGAAGAAAAATGTGGCATCAGGATTGGAGGAAGACTCATAACAACCTGCGATATGCAGATGATACAACCTTGCTTGCTGAAAATGAAGAGGACTTGAAATATTTACTGATGAAGCTCAAAGACCACAGTTTTCGTTATGGATTATATCTCAATGTCAAGAAAACAAAAATCCTCACCACTGGACCAATAAACAACATTCTTATCAATGGAGAAAAGATTGAAGTTGTCAAGG